TGCACTTTGGATGGGTAAATGCAGAGCACTAATTCCGAGTATGGGTCACCATACTTGGCCACATGTCACGTCACTTAAAAAAAAAATATATATATATAATAAGACACCTGTCCACACAATCTGTCCACACAAGCTCTCAAGAAGCTTGGTGAGGAGAACTCTTGGTGCTATTATTTGGAAATGGAAGAAATACAAAATAACCATCAATCGGCCTCGGTCTGGAGCTCCGTGCAAGATCTTGTCTCATGGGGTAAGGATGATCATGAGAAAGGTGAGGGATCAGCAAATGGACGGGGCCACGTACTGTAAAATCTTGGACGAGAACCTCCTTCCATCAGCCAGAACACTGAAGATGGGTCTTCCAGCATGACAATGACCCGAAACATATTGCCAAGGCAACAAAAGAGTGGCTCAAGAAGAAGCACATTAAGGTCATGAAGTGGCCTAGCCAGTCTCCAGACCTCAATCCTATAGAAAATCTGTGGAGGGAGCTGAAACTTCGAGTTGCCAAACGACAGCCAAGACACATTAAGGATTTAGAGAGGATCTGTAAAGAGAAGTAGACCAAAATCCCTCCTGAGATGTGTGCAAACCTGGTGACCAACTACAAAAAAACGTCTTACCTCTTGCCAGCAAGGGTTTCTGCACCAAGTACTAAGTCATGTTTTGTTTGGGGATCATATACTTATTTCACTCACTGAAATGCGAATCAATTTCTAACCTTTATATAATGTGTTTTTTCTGGATTTTTTGGTTGGTATTCTGTCTCTATACATTAAAATAAACCTACCATAAAAATTACAGACCCTTCATTTCTTTGTAAGTGGGCAAACTTACAAAATTAGCAGGGGATCAAATAAATATTTTCCCCACTGTATGGGGTTAACAGGGTGTTCCGGGTGGTTTTAAGGGCGTTACAATAGTGTCAGGTCGGGGATGCTATGGCGTTTACCAGGGCGTTCCTAGGGTGTCCTGGGTGGTTATCAAGGCACTGCTGTGTAGTTGCTACAGTGTCTTTGGTGGTTGACAGGGCGTCATGGGTGATGGTTAAAGTATTGTTATGCAGTTGCTAGGGTGTCATAGCTGGTTGTTAGAACACTGTTATGCAGTTGCCGGGGTGGTTGCTGGGACATTTCATGGTTTTATTGTCTGCTAGGCAAAAACTGTAAATCAAAATGTTAGTTCTAAAAGTAGGAGCACACCTCTCCTTAACAAACCACATGATTTAATGAACCACTTGTGTTTGTGGGACTGGGACGAGTTAGCAACATTAAAAGTAACCATTAGCTATTTTAAAAGTCAACGGGGTCACAAGGACATGAAAAGAAACAAAACTGGTGCAACAAGTCAAGTGCTTCACATTCATTTTCAATTGAAGCTAAATGATACACTTCCTAGTCATAAACCATCTCTGATTACAGAACACATGTATATGATTTCATGAAGCGCACACTTTTGTTCTCTCTGGCTCTCATCTGGTATTCTGTCGCTCTTGACATGTGTCCAAGTTTTGGCTGTGCTGTTCACGAATAACAGCGCTGTCTCTCTGCCAAATGAGGCCAAGCGAGCTGTAACCGCGACATCAGTTCCCCAGACACTGTGTTTCTCTACAGTTATCATCTTGTCTCGCTTTCCGCTGACCTTCTCTCCTTCGCTTCCCTGTCTCATATCGCCTCGCCTCCTTAATCATTTCTTTTCTCTTTCCTGTCATTATTTGGTTTCTTTTCTTATCAGCTTCAATTCACTGTAAACCATGGCTTCTTGGGGCTTATTGCTTTATTTTTTTACTTCACAAATCAACTTTGAAATTCAACTATGCAAGTTTTGAATAGTTTTACAAGTCGACTAATTGATGTACCTAACTAGTTGATAACTTGTGCACATCCACCTCACCAACAGATATCTACCTCAAACTGAAGTGGTATAACCAGAGATGGTCCACACATAAATGTGAATGGGAGGAATCATAATGCTCAAAGTTGGCTGTAGGAATGAAAGTCCCGCCTTACTGTGCGTTCACACCGCCGGCGGCGAGAGCGTCAAAAGATCGCTCTGGCCGCGCTACCCACAACGCTGACCACCGGCGGCGAGAGCGTCAAAATTCGCTCTGGCTGCCCTGTAGACGCTCCACGATCGGTCTTTATTTAAAGGGGCCGCAAACATACCAAACAAGCGTTCTGATCTTGTGCAGACTTACCACAAAAAGGGTATAACCTTATGATATATCTTAAATGTGAAAGTAAAAAAAATATTAATGGAAAGAACTTAACAATATACTTACATGATGTAATTACCATGATCAAGGTCCAGAAACGTAGTAAGGAAATCGGTAAAATAATCCATTTGACATCAGGGGTTCAACTGTAATTTTATGGATTATTTTACCGATCTCCTTACTACGTTTCTGGACCTTGATTGTGGTAATTACATTGCTGTCTATGGGAGGGTCAGAGAGGTCTCAGAATTCATCAAAAATATCTTAATTTGTGTTCCGAAGATGAATGGAGGTCTTACGGGTTTGGAACGACAAGAGAGTGAGTAATTAATGACAGAATTTTAATTTTTGGGTGAACTAACCCTTTAAGTATGTTATTGAAACATAATTTCTACAGAATTTTTGTCCTTCCCCATTTAAATTGTTGAATGGAGCTGTACTTGCATACACAATTATGGCTGCCAAGTGACCTGACTTGGACTTTGGTATAAAGTTATAGATAAAACAAAAATCCATTACTGAAACAGGCAAGATTACATGTTTGATAAGTATTTTCATAAATACTGCAACTCTATACGACTTCTACTTTGCTTTTCACTCATGTGCTTTAACTCATATGCCACAGTTTCAAGTTTTTAAAACACATCTTTCTGTTTCAGACCTGTAAAACCACTTTAGAAGTGCTATTGTAGAGGGTTCTGGTGAAAGCATGTGGTGTATGCATGCGTGTTTCTTTCTGAAGCTTTCTGAAGGCCTGTATGCGCTTCAAAACCCAAATCTCTAGAGCTTTACTAGAAACACAGGTCCAAGTTTGATTAGCCAATTCTCTGGTGAGTGCAACTATGTGTTGCTTGCAGAAAGCACACAAACACTGTGGCCAAAAACCTCAGCTTTCCAGCTGGGGGTCTTTAAAATAAAAAGGGGAAAAGGGGGGTAAGAAAAAGGGCAAAAGGACAGCAGTGTGTGTGTGTGTGTACACAAATCAAACGGCACAAAATCTCTTAGCTCATAATCAAAGAATTTCGATTTCGTGTCAGTCTTCCAATTACCTCAGTTAACTAATGAAAAACATCCCAGCATGTGCAAACTTCAATTAGCTTGCTAAATGTGGACACTCTGAAACCTGGCTAAAACCAAATGAATATATTGGTCTAAATGAGTCTACTCCACCAAGCTACTGTTACAGAACACATGTATATGATTTCATGAAGCGCACACTTTTGTTCTCTCTGGCTCTCATCTGGTATTCTGTCGCTCTTGACATGTGTCCAAGTTTTGGCTGTGCTGTTCACGAATAACAGCGCTGTCTCTCTGCCAAATGAGGCCAAGCGAGCTGTAACCGCGACATCAGTTCCCCAGACACTGTGTTTCTCTACAGTTATCATCTTGTCTCGCTTTCCGCTGACCTTCTCTCCTTCGCTTCCCTGTCTCATATCGCCTCGCCTCCTTAATCATTTCTTTTCTCTTTCCTGTCATTATTTGGTTTCTTTTCTTATCAGCTTCTCTCTCACTCCTTTTTTTCTTCCTAAATGTTCTTGTCCTTTCAACTCTTCATCTTACTGCATTCTTCCTGCATTCTTACTGCATTCTTAGGGAAGAGATGGACAGTGTAAGGGGTTTCACATGGCCATGGGATAAGTTTTTGTGCTCAAAAACAGATAGAGAGCTTAGAAGTGGAACACGGGTTAAAAGTGAAACGTTATTAAAACTGCAATGCTCATGGCGTAAGATGCTGAAAAACAATGAGACACAATGCAACCACCTGAGATTAAATAATAAATATGATAAATGTTAAGTATTTACACTTACCAAAAGGTCAAATAGCATTTACATTTCATCTCATGAATTCATCATGAATCATAGTTGTCATTTACCTTTTTTCATTGCCGTATGATTTCTGTGCAACTTTAGCGTGTAGGATGAGCACAGTTTGGTCTCCTCGTTCCTTCAGGTAATTCCGCATGGCTTCTCTGAAATCACAGAAGCAAAAGAACCACATAAGACAGAAAATATTACCAAGCGATAGGAATTTTGAGTAATTCTATAGCCAAGTACTCTAAAAAAATAAAAGTAAAAATGTAATAACGTGCAAAATTTCTTCTTATAAAATGGAGAGTTCCGGTCCTTGATTCTGATTGGTTGAGCTGTGTTCGAAGCTGTTGTAAATTACTCTACAAACATACACCTTTGTTTACTTTGTGTGTTGCTTGGCAACCACTTTGTTGCAACCACAACTGTTTCTGAGGAACTACATTGTTTGGTGGAAGAATACTGTTTTTATTCATAGCATTACACTTTATTTGCTGTTTTATTTTGTGAAACCTAACTACGTATATGGAATAACCATTTTATAAAAGCAATAAGCCCCGTGAAGCTGGTGTATGCATGCGTGTTTCTTTCTGAAGCTTTCTGAAGGCCTGTATGCGCTTCAAAACCCAAATCTCTAGAGCTTTACTAGAAACACAGGTCCAAGTTTGATTAGCCAATTCTCTGGTGAGTGCAACTATGTGTTGCTTGCAGAAAGCACACAAACACTGTGGCCAAAAACCTCAGCTTTCCAGCTGGGGGTCTTTAAAATAAAAAGAAGGGGAAGAGGGGGGGTAAGAAAAAGGGCAAAAGGACTGCAATGTGTGTGTGTACAAGTCAAACAGCACAAAATCTCTTAGCTCATAATTGAAGAATTTCAATTTCGTGTCAGTGTTCCAATTACCCTCAGTTAATTAACGAAAAACATCCCAGCATGTGCAAACTGAATTTAGCTCGCTAAATGTGGACACTCTGGAAGTGTGATGCATTTCAAGGAAACATAAAAAAAAAAAAAAACATTGTTTCAACGTTGTTGTTTAATATGATAACATGCACGCTTTCAACGGAATCCTAAACAGAGATATTCTGCAGGAAGATGAAACGCACTCTGATCTGTAACAGACCGTGTGTGTTGGATAAAAATGCTCACGTAGACACACACTCGCACAAAATAAAAAATAAAAAAACGCCCATTTGCACAGATGTCAGTGACACCTGACACGTCAAAATGCTCAGAGGGACACAGAGACGGGGTAATTGTGGGGGGCAGCTTACACACACACACACACACACACACAAGCAGCTTCCCTTTGCCACGCAAACGTCTCACACACGCTCAAGTTAGACAGGCTTTTGTTATGGAAAGCAAGGGGGCCCTGTGACATGAGGGTGGGAGGGGAAGAATGAGAGGGAAGAGAGGTGAAAGGGTTGTGCTCTGACAATAATCCTTCTCCTACAAGACAAGAGACCGGCTCGATGCGCCAAGACTAACAGGAGGACTAATCACACGCTTAAAGTAAATGTAACTTCACACACTGGCCTATTCAAGTTACCAGTATACCCACTGTAAATCTGTATACCCACACTGAGAGCAAAATGTGCTGCCACACAAGTGTGTCATTAAAAACAGAACTATCTTCTTTCAAATAAAGGTGCATTCGGTAGTCTTATGCTAAAGTATTACATACTAAGAATTGTTTTTTATACGACTAATGCTAATACATTGTGTTTTTGAGGAGAGCCATCTGAATGCTGTACACTGACACAAGATGTGATTTTGTGTTTTGTGCAGAGCACTCCCCTCAATGCATTTCAGCATTTTGAAATCTTCGACAGAATCTTTACGCTCATTGGTTGCCGCTTCTGTGGGTATGCTAGTAGCGTAGTGTTGTTTGGAGATGCAAAAATCTAAATTAGACAGAACACACTTATTATTGTGCTTTACCAGCAGAAACAATGAATCAGTACCTGTATGGCTAAAAGGTTTAAAGACAAAAGGTGTAAAGACCAACATGGAGTTTTGGTTCCTTGCTACTGTTGCCTTTGGCTTGTTCAGTTGGGGTTTAAAGGGTTAGTTCACCCAAAAATGAATATTCTGTCATTAATTGTTAAAAGAGCCAATCGTCTGATTGTTTACTCTAGAACGCACTTGCACATTAGTTGGACCAGCACTTTTTTAAGCATTATTTGAGTTAAAGAATCACAATATATGGAGACATTGTTGTCAGATTTTAACCTTGAATTTAAAGGGTTAGTTCACCCAAAAATAACTTTTTATTACTCACTCACATGTCCTTCTAAACCCGTAAGACCTCCGTTCATCTTCGGAACACAAATTAAGATATTTTTGATGAATTCTGAGAGCTCT